CTCAGCCGTTTGAACCGCTTTAACCAGAAGCACCTCCACTCCCATCGGTACCATTGCGGGAGGAGCAGCCGGTGGCGTGGTCGGCCTCGCCGTCGTCATGGCCGAAATAGAGAGCAGCCCGCAGACAATCTCGTACAGCCCGCCAATCCAACATTATCATATCGACAGTACGCCTCGCCGGGTTCCACTTCGCCGTCGTCCCCGAGTCGTCCCCATCCCGGGGCCCATCGCGAGTTCAGTCGATTGTATCCACGCTACCCACCGGCGCATTCATCCTCTCGGCCCCCGGTGGATATTCCAAGCGCGACTCGCTCCATCCGAATACCCCGACCTCGCCCATTTTCATCGCTTCCGTAGGATTCGACAACGAACGCGGGCAGACCGAGGCCGAACTCCGCCATGTGCGCCAAATGGAGCTCGAGCGGAAGATCCAGGACATCCACCGCGAGATGGACAAGGACTGACTGACGACGCACCACCTGACTACAACGACAAGTATTGATTTTGGGCTTGGGTGCAGAGGAATCATTCAGCTCTGGGCATATTGACGAACGAAGTTTCGTTCAAAGTATTCATTTATGCATCATTTCAGATTTAAACCTTGTCCTCTGAAAAACCCAAATCAGCGGGACCCACCAGTTTCGTTGTGAAAAAAAAAACTGTGGTACAGTAATAGTACCGCCAGTCATCGCACGGCGCAAAACTTGCTTACCATGCAAATCTCCCATTCCCCCGGGGAGCCAGGAGTTGCCGCCCGTTTTTGCAATCTGCGTTGATTCTGGAACTCACGGCCGCCATGGCGGTGATCAACGGAGCGCAAAGCACAAAATTGTTGAGTTGCGGAAATTAGGGTGCGGATGGGGATATGCTGATGATGGAGCGCTCCACTCACTCTCCCACCAACCACCACCAGCAAAATCACCAACGTGCACGGCAACCTGTTCTTCGCACGAGCGACGCAAGGAAGCGCAGAAATTCCACGGTGAGTGTTCTTAAGATCCTCAGCAGCAAGCCAACAGAGTACAACCGCAGTTTTCAATGGATGCCACCGACACAATGGTGACGGGTGCAGAGGCCATCCACCACATCTCGACCTTGCCCAACGAAATCATCTCCGAGATTTTCCTCCATTTTCTTCCAATTTATCCCCAAGCTCCGCCTCTCAGAGGCCTACTCTCTCCGACTCTTCTGACCCACATATGTCGCAGATGGAGGGACATCGCCCATGCCACTCCCGCGCTTTGGAGAGCGATATCGCTGCGCTTAAACGCTCTACACGACGAGCAAGACAACGAACTCTTGGAGTCATGGACGGCCAGGTCCCGTTCCCATCCGATCTCCATCTCTATCGGCGGAGACGGTCCCGTAGCATCTCAATGCATGAAAACACTTGCTGCGCATCGTGGGAGATGGGAGAACGTCGAATTTCTATGGCTCGACGAACACTCCCTCCCTTTCCTTTGCAACCCAATGCCTCTTCTTCAGCACCTAAACATGTCATTCCGAGGTGATTACGATCCAGTTATCATCGGCGATGCGCCTCTGTTGCGCTCCGCGAGAATCGGTCATCGCGTCAACAATCTCGTCCTCCCTTGGAGGCAATTGACATCACTGGCTCTGCAATCCCTGTACCTGGACGAATCTATCCCAATCTTACAACAAAGTGTATTCCTCGTCCACTGCGAGCTGGCACTCTTTATTCGTCCCCATCATGGTGACGATTATGCCGGGGTTGAGCTTCCCTTTCTGCAATCCTTGGTTTTAACAGGGAGAAACACCACTGCGCGGATGCCCTCTCTGCATACCCTCATTCTCCCCGCCCTCCGCACCCTCCAAATCAATGGTTCGGGTTTGGGACCTCGTCTCATCCCTGGACTCGCAGCCTTTTTTCTAAAATCCGGGTGCGCGTTACGTGGATTGCGGATAACAGGGAAAGGATCGGAAGTAGCACCGGACGAATATCGAAAAGCATTTCCGACCATCTCCGAGATCATATTCGAATAGGGTTATTCATGGCGGGGGCATTATGAAGGGTAGTCGGGACGGGTCGATTTTAACGCAGATGAGGTGAAACCGAACATAATCTACCTAGGCGCTTAATATCCTGACATTGCATTTCTTACAGGGTAAAGCATCGTATTGCTCGCCTCAATTCGCCCTCTGAACTTTGAACTAACCTCTGTCTGTTTGACCTTCATTCGTCTCAACGTGCTTTGAAAATGATAGAATTCCGTTTCACTACAAAAGTAACCAAAGTTACCAAACATATTGCGATCCAAGGATCTGACGAAGCTCGGCTGAATACTTCAATGAATTCCTAGGAAAGAAAGCAACTGCAACAGAAATGGACTTGAACTAGTAAGGAATCACCATTCGAGGACCTTCGGGTACATAGGGCAGCCCATCCCAAGGTAAAGTACGTCCAATCTTAGGGGGAGGAGGATACGTCAAGTGTACACAAAGACCTCTTTCCATGAAGTGGCTGAGATCCGGGACGATATCGCGTTCCAATTGCCGTGCAGCCTCGACGACTATGCGCTGCAACTGGCAAGCTGCGATGGCAAGGGTCATCCGTGCGATCATGAAACGCAGGATACGCTCGTCAGAAAATCCAAAGCACTGCGATATCTGGAGCTCTTGTAACCCAGGACAACAGGGTACAGGGGAATCTGGCGATGGGGTAAGAGCGTCCAAAATGCAATTATGAATTTTTTCTTCTGGAAACCTAGAATGATAATTAGCAACGTCTTCAATATGCAGCGTTCTGAGCGTAGGAGGCAGGCCGTGCAACAGTTTCGCCGCCAGCGCCGGTGAGCTGTCGATTTCCCTGATGCTGATGTTGAGGACCTCTAAAAGCGGAGAACGGGCGAGAAAGCCGCAAAGAGGAGTGCGGATTTCTTCTGGATCGCTCACCCATCCAATCCAACTTGAACGAAGTTTGAACTTCTGCAAGTCGGGAAGGGCGAGGCAACCGAAAAGTTGCTGGGTAACGGTGACCGAGCCCATGCACACTAGGTCAAATGTGCGAAGAGAGAGGTGTATACAGTGGCGACGGAAAGTTGTGCACGCGGTCGTTTGGGCTCGTTTCTAGCCTGAATGACTTCAAATAAAATGTAGGCATACTTTTTGAGTAGTTTCAAGACCTTTGGCACGTTTAAATTGATATGGTATCTGCTTCATTGTTTCATAATAAAAATAATGCTGGTTGTCCGAAAAACCGACTTTGTCAATTGGCCATGTAGTGGGAAATAGTGTAGATGGTCTGAAAGTACTCTCAAAGGAAACCCAAATACTACTTTGGCTGGCCTGAATTGATGCAGGTTTGGGCTTGTAATACCTTCAACAAGTTAGCCATTTTCAGTATTTTTGGCCCTGTTATGCTCAAAAATGCCAAAAATGACCAACTTGCATGGGCCCATGCAAGCTCAATTCCCCACCAATTTAGATAAAATCACATATGGATATGATTGTATTTGCAAGTACTTTCACACTATAGCCACCATTTTCTCATATCTGACCAATTGAAAAAGTCGGTTTTTCAGAAAATCACCATTATTTTTATTATGAGGGAATGAAGCAGGTATTAGAGTGTTTGTGCATGAGCCATTCGAGCCACCAGATGGCTGTTTTGCTGTGTGCAAAATGATGGCTAATGGCTGTTGAATGGCTAATGAATAAAGTGATTTTTGCACACAATGATACCTTTATTATTCCTAGAAAGCCACCCTTCTCATTGGGTCACTCAATTGGAACTGTAGCATAAATTATGGCTGCTTTTGGTTGAAATCAGATTTTGCTGTGAAAATGGAGACAGTACCAAATGATATGATGGTGTACCACATACCAGGGTGATCTATGCTACATATTCTCCCTCAATTCAAGCACTTTCCGAGAAAAAATTGAAGCCATTCAACAGCCATCAGCCATCAATTTGCACACTGCAAAACAGCCATCTGATGGCTTGAATGGCTCGTGCACAAACACGCTAATGTATGGGTTTAAACACATCTAGAGTCTTGAAATTGTTCAAAAAGTATGCCTACATTTTATTTGAAGTCATTCAGGCTAGAAACGAGCCCAAACGACCGCGTGCACAACTTTCCGTCGCCACTGTACTACATAGCGATCAAATTGCGCTCATACCAGTATACAGTACCTCGAATCCTCCCTGATGTCACTTTCAAGTATAGATTTGAGCCCGCGCACATTGGAGTGCAATTTATTAGTGAATGCCTTCATTACATGTAAATTACTACAGTGAACGGGATGGTAATACCCAGCTAAACATTTAAATGAAGTCTAAATTTGCATAGTAATCCCTGCCGCGGCAGCGACAACCCTACATAGGGAAAGGATATCAATTTAATGCGTCAGGGATCCCGCAGTGCTTAGGATATTAATAGAGATTGTGAGAGCAAGGCCCACGAGGCGTGGAGGATTTACGCGGGCAGTGCAAGCCGGGTTGCCATGCAACCGCCCGCGGAGGTGGACTTGCGGCGGAAAATCAGAAATACACTTTGTTGAACATTTGATGCAGAGATCAAACAACAACACACGTTGCATGTTGCTCTTTTACCCCCACCATCTCCACCCGACTTCCCTCCCCTTCTCTTTTATCCCCCATTCCAACTTCCCCATTCTTCCGACCCGTGCCTCAAGTTCTCGAGACACCTACCAACATTCAGCACAGACTTCGGAGTCTGCCAAGGAACTCAGTAATATTATTGTTCAGTTCATGTCAATGTCGCTCGCTCGTTCTTGCTGCAAGTCCAGTCAGGACGCTGTTCGGTATTCTCGCGGCGTGTTCGTGTTTGAGGTAGTGGAGATTTGCTGCCAGTGGCCACATTGATGCTGCTTGATTCTGCCCAAATTCTGCCACTGAATTCCGCCAAAGAGCCTCGGCAATAATTGTACCAGCTGGGCCTTGTTGAGAAGTGGCATACGAGAATCTGGAATCGGCAAGAGCAGAGAAAAAATAAGTGAGGCCGAAAAAAACAGAACTCTCGACCTGGGAGTCGAACCCAGCTTTCGCGCGCAACACTCATTCAAATGTATGACAAGCGCGTGTACTAACCGATATACTAGTCAAGACATGAAGGGTGCTGATGTTGATGCGTGATCATGGGAACAGGCAGCGCCGGGAGGATTTCTGTTGGCGAAACTCAAACCATCACACGCCGCAAGTGGTTGAAAACCAGAGTAAGTTTACATCCGTGATGCTGTAACGAGTCTGCGAGAAGTTCTCACAGGATCGCTAATTGACAATATTGCCTGCACAATGCTCCAACGCCATAGAATTCTGACACTCCCTTAGCAGTGTTTTACCATTCATTCAACATGTGTTTGCCAGTGCCTGATCAAGTAAAACTGCATTGGTTGATTATTGCGCTCACTTAGGTGGGACCTGTTCGACATTATCCAAAGACAAACGTCATCAGTCTTTGACCTGTTTTGGGGAGCGGGGCTGAAGCTCGCCGCTTCGGTGAGTTTCTTCTGCGAAAACATAGGGGTAGACTTATAGGGGTCCAGGGCGCCGAACACACTACAAAACTCTGTTGATCACTACCCCTCATGCACTCACCATATTGCCCTGTTCCCGTTACTGCATTTCCTGTAAATAATGGCAATCACAATTTTTTTTTTTTTTACGATTCCCAAAACGGAATTTCCTTTGGGAGTGATCGCAAGTTCAATTCCCGGGTTGGTACATTCTTTTTCATGGAACTTTACATATCGAAAAATAATGATCCTGACCCTGAGCTCAGCAACAAAGAAGTCTCCACAAATTCTGGTTGGATACCTGGTATAACTATGGTGTTCTTATGACCAGATTGCTTTACAGAACTCATGTATCACCAACAGGAGCTATTGAAGGTGTCTTTCTGCACTGAATACTCAGTTGAAGGATTGCCAAATAAGCAGAGTGCCTAGGTAGAGCACAACCATCATTTATGCTGAGAATTACCAAGCTGCACAAGACATGAGATGGAGTTGACTTCAATTTGTACTCACATCAAGGTTTTGGGTGTTGTCAATGGTTGTATTTACAATATATCTAAAATTATGGCATAGAAAATGGGTCAAACACTCATACTGCAACTTTTTTGGTGCACCAAAGGCCAGGATAACCCCCCAAATCATCAATGAAAATGTACCGGGCCCGGGAATTGAACTTGCGATCACCCGCAAAGGAAATTCCCTTCTGGGATTTGCGAAAAAAAATAATCGTGATTGCCATTATTTACAGGAAATGCAGTAAGTCAGCGGCCTGCAGTTTTGCCGTGTTCCGGTGTCTAACGTTCAGACGCAATCAACGACGCGGTTGTGGATGTAGTCGCTGTGTCGCGCTGTACAGTGATCAGTGTGATCGACACTCAGTGTCCGTTGCAGGGAGCAGGGCTTTTTTTTTTTGGTTCGTTTGTGGACAGTTTTTCACCCTGAAGGTCGTCGGTGTCAGACAGGCTTGGCACCTGGGTGGCATTACCCAGGTCCGTCTTTGTCTGGCCAGCAACGTGCGAGGCAGCCCAAGCGCGAATCGGGATATAAGTACATAGGAATATTTTTAGCGAATAGGATATGTATTGCTCCTCGTGTCAGTTGATTCCGGCAATGATATATTGGTTCTATGTCTTACATCCGGTGGCTTTCTAAGTGCATTACGAGACAATGTTTTCATTGCACTCCCTAATTAATTTCCCTTCAGTGGCATGAACAGGGTGATCAGCCAGAAATACAAGGTCCAAACTATCCACGTTCCATTCTGATTTCAACCACGCGGACCGTGCGATGATACTGATCTTGGGTTGAAAAGTTTTAATGTGGTAGACAGGGGAACCTGACCATCTTTTCCTTTCAAAGCTCTTTATAGACGGGCAAAATTTGATCCAGTATGTTCATGTCACAGTCGTTTCCTTGATAAATATCATTGAATCAGCTGAGGCGGACTGCCATAACAAATAGAACGCGAAGTTTGGATATGAAAAGAGCTGCCCCACTCTCATTTCTCCCAGAACCAACCAACCTTTTCATCGCAATGCGCTCCAACATTTTCTCCCTTCCTCATCTGTTCTGTTGTCCTTCTTGAATCCATTAAAGTCGCCGTGGGGTTCCAGGCTCAGAGCGCGCCGTGTGACGGCGGCTTTGGCCTTTGCTGCGATGGGCTTTTCTGCATCCACCTCACTCCCGAATCCGCCACCAGCGTAATTTCACTTATATGTTTGACAACCCGTGCGGCGGCTGATGTTGCCTTTAGACTTGCCAGGGCTGCTCGCGACTGGGCACGTCGTGTAATGATAACTTCCATGGGCTCTGCTGCGTGGGCCTTTCCTGTGTCAGCGCGTTTCCCAAGAGCGCTGGGGTAAATGACATTCACGCCTGAAACCGGAGATATACTCATCAGGAAGTTTCAGACGTGCAAATAGTTGTCCGAAGTCACGATTGTGTGACTGAGCCATTCGGCCCCGGAGTTGGAACGGTTCTGGACCTTCAAATCACACGTTATGTTGAGCATCCATTGAGCCCATCTTCGCTTCAACCAGACTTACTGAGATGATTCATATTTATCGCCGCTCGGGCATCTCGGCGATGTTGGAATTAGTATTCTGCCTTGAGACTACTCAATCACAAGCGTCATCCGACTGTGCGATGCACTTGGAATGCCCCTTATCGCACGTCCTGCTGCGTTTCTTTAAAGGAAAATACAATTCTAAAAAGATCCGGGGTGCCGAACGCACTACAAAACTCTGGCCATCACTACCCAAGATTCGCACTGAGTATCGCCCCGCTCCTAATCGACGGCTCGGAGTCGTTGTGTTCGAGACAGCAGACGTTTAGTAGCAATCAACGACGCGGTTTCGGCATGTAATAGTCGCTGTGTCGCAACTTCACAAGATTGGCCTAACCGGCGGTCTCATCGATCGTTGCATGGAGCGGGCCCTTTTTTGATTTTTCTTTTTGCCCCGATTTTTACTCGTGAAGCTAACAAAAAAAACCTCAGCTAGGACATCCTATGGGCCGACAGGAACTCGCGATCGGTTCCTGGGCGTCCCTTTTGTATTTTGTATTTCGACGGTACAAGTAGCCTCGACTTGCGCTTCAGTTCAGCCTGAGAGGAGAGACCTTCGAGTTTTTACAGGAGATTTGTATGTCTTTCTTGCAGTGTTCCACGAGGTTGAAAACTGAGGCAGCAAGCGTTTGCGCTCCTATGATCGAAGGTTGGGGGAATTGTTTTTCACACATTTGAAATATTTGTGGAGGTTCGTTCGCGCGCAATGTCTACATCCGGGGAGCTCCAGGCAATGTTGCCTTTGTCAACTTACAGTGCAGCACGATGTAGCCATTTTGACGCGCTGAATCAAGGATCACGGGTTTTGAAATGGCGCACATATTTTCGTTGAACGTTTGGGTTGGATTGATCCAAAAGCTGCAGCGGGATCATCGACGACTCATCTCGCAGCCTGGTAGTTTAATCTCCGCGCATCCTCGAGGAAATAATGTGGGGTTTAAGGGCCTGAGAAGATCAAATGCGTACGTAACATCAACGTGTCGGACTGCGGAACCGCTTCTTCCTGAATCATGACCGCCATGACCTCTCCCTTCACCCACAGGCTGGGGACCAACTATTGTCCTTCGGACGAGGAAGTGGCAGATATACAGGCTCTAATCTTCGAATCTTCGCCCCAGTTGAACTCACTCACCGACGAAATCGCCGCGATGCAGCGGTCGATCGATAAACTCACAAAGGAACGCGACAGCCTTGCTGCCTATCTGGAGGCACACAAGGCTCTTCTTTCTCCCATTCGTCGAATTCCACTCGATATCATTCAAGAAATATTCATTGCATGCACTCCCGCGCACCGTAATTGCGTTATGAGTGCTAAGGAGGCGCCCGTCCTTCTCGGTCGCATATGCAGCTCCTGGAGATGCATATCGTTGTCGACGCCACGTCTGTGGTCCAGGCTTCATATTGTAGCTCGCTTTCTGATGGAATATGTATTTGCCATGGGCAGACTCAGGAACTGGGCTGGTGCACTGCCGGGTGCCGATTTGGGATGAAATGGTTGCTATTGCCACATACTGAGACTTTTGCACTATCTTCGGTACAAGTAGCCCATGTCGTGAGTGGCACAGAAGAAAGCGAGGAGAAAGTGACAGCTGTCACGGATGTGACATGCAGTGACTGGTACCAGTTCGCAGCGACTAGAGGTGTTTGAGAGGCATTCCGTGGTGTTTTGAATGACCAGGGGTGTTGTTTCCACCCCATGGCATGCACCCGTCGCAGGATAGGACTCTAGGCTCACCAGAATTGCATGTAGAGATGTATTGATTATAAAATGGATATTCATGCAAAGAAGCTGTTTAGGAAATTGTCCAATGCACTACATAAGCGTTCCAAAGACACAGTCCTATGCAGAATCGACGTGCTGAACGTTTGCATCAGTTTTCAGGGAAAACCGTTGCAAATCGCCGGCAGGGCAAGCATCCCACTGCGACAATCAGAACATCAAACCAAACACCGAAAAACCCAGAAGATCAACCCATGTCAACTCACCTGATCATGTAGGTGAGCATTCTGAAGATGCAGTCGCATGTATAATTGGACGCCCAATCGATTGAGCCTATTTCCAGGTGAAACGGGCCCGAACTCACGCCAGGGCAAGCATTATACTGTGAGAACAACTGATATTTGATCATATTTGCAAGTATTCTGCACAGTTAATGTCCCTTAAGGCCCGTATTGAAATTCCTAGGGGACAGTCCTATGCTCCCCTTAAATGCGCATACGACCAACCTATTTTCGAGGGAAACGGGCAAGACCTCAGGCCAGGGCGAGTGTTGCATTCCGCGGGGATCAAAATTCGCCCAAAACGGCAGAAAAAATGGGTCGCGCCCTAAGTTCTGCAAAGAGCTGTAAAGTCTCTCGCGTTCTCGCCTTCGCCCAAACGGACGCGAGACCTCGGGAGAAATTTACTTACATCTGCAGAGAAGTCTTAGGTCTAGCAAATCAAGGATGGAGCAACCAAATTGCAACGAACAACAACAGTCAAATTTCAACACTCAATCTACCAGCGGAATCTCGGATACATGGTCAG